AAATCTGCCCTTTGCAAGTGAATTAAGAATTTGACAGAAGAACCCTGAGATTTTGAGCCCTTCAAAGAAAAAGAAACCACATAGTGCTAAACAGATGCACTGAGGACCAGCTGGCTTTTCTCTGTCCTTTAGCAAAGCCCAGAGGCCAAGGAAGGGGCAAATGCTGTTGAATTATGGTAGCCCTGGGACCTTGGCCCTCAGGCGGTAGGGACCATGCCTTGAGCCAGGTGGGTTTCCAGAACTGCCCAGGCCTGCCAGGGCTGGGAAGGATGTCCCCAGGGGCAGAAGTGAGCAGAGGACAACCTGCGTGTGGCTGCTCTACCTGCCATTCTGGTGGACATGCTAACACCCAGGCCTCTGTGAGCTTTGGTTTCTTCTTGCCAAGACTAGACATCTACTTCAAGGGGCTTTTGTGTGGGAGACACAGCAGAGAGCAAGGCTCCTGCTGTGCTGGCCTAGGGAAGCTTCTGGCTTTCCCCACCACGCTCACTCAGCCAACAGCAGTAGAGGAGCCCTGCTCTCCCTGCTCAGCTGCCCTCTCCTTTGCTAGAAGCTTCCTGGCTCACACTGAGGAATGAGTGTCATTCATCCCCTCCTGGCAACCTCCTGCACTTGTACAGTCCCAGGTTCAGGTCTCATCCCTGCTTCTTAGAGCTGCTCCCAACTTGTACAAGCATATCCTCAGCAAGGCTCGGTGACCCCAGCTTGAAATGGGGAATCAAAACCCTCATCTTACTGAGAGAATTCCATGGGACAGCACTTGTCCCTCAGGGGGCAGTGTTAGCTACCTCTCCCACTCGTGTGGCTGGTGGACCTGCAGGCCCCTGTGCCTCTCCCCCAGGCAGAACCGAGAGGATCATTGCCTTTGAAAGTGAGGCCAGCGAGTCCTGGGGGTTCCTAGGGTGTACCAAGCATATGGAACAGCACTGGACACAGGGGCCACCTGCTCCGCCCAGCCCTTCCCTGAGGTTCTCTCTTCAGGTAGGAGAGACGTGGCCTTTGGCACAGGCTTCCCTGACAGCCCAGGTCTGGGGAGGGAGAGAGTATTTCCCATTCCTGGCCCACTGCTCAGGCCAGGGAAGGGGACCCAGGCCAATCACAGGCAGATGACTGTCTGGCCAGAGGCCCAACCGACCAGATCGGCACTTGAGAACTCAAGAGGACCTCCATAGGCTGCAGGCAGGAGCATGTCATTAGGGAGGGAGGGCTATGGCTGGACACACCATTAAACTCCCTTCCTGAGAGCCAAAGGCTGACCTGAGCTCACAGCCAGAATTCTGCTCCAACCAGGGGGACCTGGAGGTGCTTTTGGACCTGGTGGGGGTGTCTGGGTTTTGGAAATTGTATCACATGGTCGCTGCTGGGGGAGGACTTGATGCCACCCCTGCTTCCCTACAGCTTCCGTCTACTGCCAACTTCTGGGATGCACAGGCCGCGGCTGTGTTCTGCTTCATGCTCTATACCTGCCCACTCCCCAGACTCCGCAGCCCAGCGTACTCATTCAGTACTGACTGGAGCAGACATTCCTTTGGGCCACGGTGAAGCACAGAGCAACTGCCTGCAGGGACCCAGGCCCTCCAGGAGTGGGTCTGAGCCCCAACACTACGTCCCCACCCCAGCAATCAAGACTCTCTGCCTTCTCAGTCCCAACAAAGGCACTGAGTAGAAGTGGACATCCCAGGGGCCTGGATATTGGCAGCTGAGCCAGGCCAGGGTGTTGTCATCACAACAAGACTGAGCCAGAGACAGTGTGACATAGCTCCCGCTGAGTCCACCACCTCTCCTGTAGCCAAGACTCGATGTTGAGCCCACATTGGCCAAGGCCAGCCAAGGGCTTGAGGACTATTGATTATCTCTCAGGTTCCCACCATGTCCGGCTTGGGTCTGTCTGAGAACTGGGCCAGCGGGAGGGATCTGTGCTCTGCTCTCAGGCCTCCTCCTAGCCCTGGCAATGCTTGTGGTCCACATGATCCACCCACTGCCACGTGCCAGACCAGCCCCTCTCTCTGTTCTTCCAGGAGATGGCAGCGGAAAAGGCCAAGGCAGCAGCTGGGGAGGCCAAGGTGAAGAAGCAGCTAGTGGCGCGGGAGCAGGAGATCACGGCCGTGCAGGCACGGATGCAGGCCGCCTACCGGGATCACATGAAGGAGGTGCAGCAGCTGCAGGGCAAGGTGGGTCCGGGCTAGGACCAAGGGGACCAGGGAGGCCCAGGGGTGAGGTGTGAGGTGGGCTTGAGAACGGCCACAGGGGCCTGTGGAGTCTGGAAGGGGCCAAGGGCTATTGCATTTGTCTGGACAGCGTGTCTGGCACCTCGTGGGTGTTGGGGGTTAATCTCTGGAAAGGTTTAAAATGTACAGGGAGAGCACTTTTCCAGAAGAGCTTAGCCTCAAGTGGCCTCTCCTGGGTGTCTGTAGGTCAAGTTCTCAGCTTCCACAGGAACCGGAAGTAATGCTGGTCTTGCCATCTCCCCACACGACTGGGAGAATACCATAACACAGAGTCCTGAAGTCAGCAGCTCCAGCCTGGCACCAGGCAGTCGCCTGCCCAGACTGGCCCTCATGGTCAAAGCTGCTGACACCTGCCTGCTTATCAGGGCTGTGGCCTTCCTCTCACCGCGCATCTCAGGATGTGCTGTGAGAGGTAAGGAGGCAGGAAGCAAGGCTTCCTCAAGTGGCAGTAGGCTGTGGCTTGTGGCCGTGTGCCTAGCAGTCAACTGTGTAACCTTGGAGACTGATGTGCACAGAGCATGTCAAGGCAGATTGCTGGGCTGTGGGCAGGCCGTGAGCAGTGCAGGGGCAGAGAGGTGTGTCCCTGTGGGAGTGGGGGCCACACTTGGGGTGCGACGTGCAGGCCTCCAGTTTCATGGGTTCCCCCTACCATCTGGGTCAAGAAGGTGGACAAATCCTCCTGGGGGTTTCTCTTGTGACTAAGTCCTCACTAACCCTGCTCCAGAAGTCAGCCCTCCTCATGGGGCTGGGCAGCTCTCTGATGCCCTCTTCAACACTTTCTAGATCCGGACTCTGCAGGAGCAGCTGGAGAACGGCCCCAACACTCAGCTGGCCCGTCTGCAGCAGGAGAACTCCATCCTGAGGGACGCCCTGAACCAGGCCACAAGCCAGGTGGAGAGCAAGTAAGCTGAGTATTGCCGCTGGGACACAGCGCGTGAGGCTGAGCAGCAGCCATGTCTGGGCCCGCACAGTGCGGACCCTATGTCCCCCATCTGGGTCCTGAGCAGATGGGTCTTCTGACAGATGGCCCTATGTCCCCTCAGGTGGCAAAGGCCTGCCCTCACCAACATGCCCAGTGTCTGGGCAAGGTGGCCCTCATGTTCTTGCTGGTGCTGGCATCTTGCCTTTCTGGAAGAGCAATATGCCTCATGTCTGTTTTCCCAACACCCCTAAAGGGAGGCTTTTGAAAACTCCTGGTGGTTGCCCAGGGCATCAAGGCCAAGTAGCTTATCTAAAATATGAGTTTGCTGGTGATGTTGGAACCTACCATGGGCCTCGATTCTCCATGGGAGCACCATCTGCTGTTCTAGAGGGGCCCTCTCACTGAGGCACTGGTGTCAGGTGATGTTCCCCGGCCACATGTCCTCCTCTTAGCACATTCTCCATATCAGGGTGGCCTCTGTGTAGCTGAAGCACTGGTGTCCACTGTGGGTGAGATAGCTTGGGCATGCTCCACCTCTAGAGCCAAGTGCGGCCACACTGCTTCTGCTCCTGTGACCCAGCATGTCAGATTCAGTGGCCAGGTCCTTCAGAAGCCCACAGTTTCTTTGCCTTTTCTGGGCCTCAGAACACAGGAGCTGTGTTACCCCCAAAGTATCTGCTCTCTCGAAGAGGGCAGCTGACTAAGCGGAGAGCATGGTGCTCTCATTGTGTGGGCTGGGACCCAGGCAGGGGAGAGCTCCCAGCCCAGGACTGGGACAGGGAGGGGAGTCTGGGCCACACGTCTATTGGGCAGGTGTCACCCCATGAGCACCGGCATGGAATGAGATCTCACAGCTGCCTTTACCAGGCCAGTCCATTCTGTCATGGTCCCCTCTGGGGTCCCCTTCCTGACACATGAGTGGGCTGGTTGAGGTTTTTGGCTGCTGTTTCCTTAGAAGCCACAGCAGAAGATGAACATGAGGACTGGTGAATGGTTAGGCCTCCCCTCTCATGGAGAATCTGCTGTGGCCTCCTCACTGGGAAAAGCTTTGAAGCCTAGCGACCTGTCACCCTGAGTGGTGGCCCTGACTCTGTTAGTCTGGGAACTCAACAGCAGGACAGGTCCCTCTCAACTCCACATCTGTCTTGAGGTGCTACCCACCCAGCCCCCACCTCCACCACAGGTCACCTGACCTTAGCGCGGCAAAGCACGTGTGCTAACGATGGCCTCCCCAGTGCAGACAAGACCCCCCAAGACATAGAGTGGTAGAACTCACCACCCCAGCCAGCAGATCAGAGCAGTGTCTACCAGCTTTCCCACCTCCACCAGGTGGTGCCACCCCCAGGCTCATGGGCAGCCCTGTCTATCCCCTCCATCCTGTCTGGTGGTGTCACCTGGCTGGACAGTCAGCCCTCGGCCATGAGGGGGCTTGTAGTGAAGGTGCAGCAACCCCCATACACCCCTCACCACTTTTCCTTCCATATCTCTGTAACATTCCTCTCACGTCCTGAGACCCAGCTTTCTATTTTTTTTTTTTTTATAAGACAGAGTCTCAAGCTGTCACCCTGGGTAGAGTGCCATGGCATCACAGCTCACAGCAACCTCAAAGTCTCCAGCTTAAGCAATTCTCTTGCCTCAGCCTCCCAAGTAACTGGGACTACAGGCGCCCGCCACAAGGCCCAGCTATTTTTTGGTTGTAGTTGTCTTTGTGTGGCGGGCCTGGGCTGGATTTGAACCCACCAGCTCTGGTGTATGTGGCTGGCACCCTGGCCATCGAGCCCTGAGACCCAGCTTTTGATGTGCATTGTCAAAAGTCTGCTCTGTGAGTGCCTCAGGCTCTGGCTTCGGGCTTCCCCCCACAGGCTAGCCATAGTCCAGGCAACCAGTAAAGGGGACATGTGGACCCCACGGCTGCTGCCCCGGGTCTGTAGGGGGTCAGGGTGAGTCAGCCTACACCTTGGGGCTTTTTTGCTCCCAGGTCAGTGATGAGGAGAACAGTGTCTTGCTTTTTTCTGTCTGAATTTCTAGTAGTTTCTAGGAGGAGCTTTAGTGCAGACTTTGTTCTTGCTTTCTCTGGTTTGTGTGTCAAGTCGGTAAAACAGTGTATTCAGCAAAGTACACACCAAATCCCCTGTGTCTGGGAATGCAACAGGGACCGTTGTGATGGCTTCAAGGCTTGGACAGCTACTTAAAATAGAGTTGGTTTCCAGGGGGGAAGGTTCAGACCACCATCCCCAGCCCCTACTTCTGATCTGCAGTCATGGGCTGGTGACTACTGTCTTGCAGGCAGAATGCAGAGTTGGCCAAGCTCCGGCAGGAGCTCAACAAGGTCAACAAGGAGCTGGAGGAGAAGTTAGAGGCTACGCGGCAGGAGGAGCAGCGGCGGAAGGCTCTGGAAACCAAGGCAGCCACCTTCGAGAAGCAGGTCCTACAGCTGCAGGTGAGTGGGCAGCTATTTCAGTGCCCTGTTGAGTGCTCACCGAGCCTCTCTACATGGCAGGAAGAGGCCAAGGGTCGTTCAGCCACACTGGACTACCCTTTCTAGCAAAGACTGTGACCACTGGAAATGTAGGCAGCACTCAGACCCGCCACCACTCTCTCATCAGTACTAGTGACAGCACCGGTGCTGCTCTCCGTGTGCTGGGCACCGTCTGGGTGTTGTGCAGGCATTCACCCCTCCTACTCACCAAGGCCTTACGAGGTGGGTACTGGGAAGTCCTGGTGACTTGTGGCTTTGGACTCATTTTCTGCCCTGTCACAGAGGTCAGGCTGTAGTGCACAGGGGCATCAGGGCTAACTCTTGGAAGGAACAAGGCATGAAATGGTAAGAGTGACATTTGAATGTGTACAAGGGACTAAATAAGAACATGGACAAATAAATACGGCTTGAATTAGAGAGAAATTAAGACAGGTAACTGGGTATTTGTGGGTCTTCACGTAAAGCAGTCCCACCTATAAGATCAGAGCTTTTGGGGTACAGACCTGGTTATGTTTTAAAGGCTTCCAGATGCTTCCGGTGTATCTCTGTGGCTGGAACCTGCTCAGATTGTCACCATGTGTGTTGTTCCTATAAAGGAGCCCACCTAGGACAGAGGCCTGGGCCTGCTTCTCACCAGTAAGCCACAGACTCCCGGTGTCTCCTGTCTTCTCTGGGCCTCAGGGTCCTTGTCCACAGCCTGGAGCTGGATAGAGGGGTCCATGCTTTCCAGTCTCATAACATAGACTTGTGGTTGGGGTGAGTGACAGTGAGCCCTCTGTTGTCAGCTGCCAATTCAGGGTCTAGCTCTGCTGCCTCCTAGCAAGTTATCTCAGAGCCCCAGTTTCCTCATCTGTACTGTCAGAGTAGCACAGTAGTAGCTACCCCACAGAGTATCTAGAGCTAGAACAGTGCGTTGCAAAAAAAGATCTCAATGAACATGAACTTTACAAAGTTCCATTCAGGAAATCTTTGAGTAAGACCGGTGGTGTAAGTTGTAGAGAACAGCTCTGTGTTCCACTGAAGAGAAGATGGGGCTCTTTATTTTTGATGACTGTCCCTCCTCCACTGGAGGCCCTTCCCTGTGAGCCACCTCTTGAGGGAGCAGGGTAGGCCTGGCCTCTGCGCTGACCTTGGGTCCTGGCATGCTGGCATCAGCTAAGATACCTCCCCCTACAGCCTGTCTCACCTTGAACGGCTTGTCAGAGCCTGCCTGAAGAAAGTGCCCATTGAGGGTGCTGACAGCATCCAGATGGACTGAATTTTGGAAATCCAGGAAGGTTTTATCAAAGTCCCCAGCTGGCCTGCCCAGCTGTGGGACCAGCTTCTGGAAGTGTTCAGTCTGACTGGCTGTGCTGACCACATTGGCAGAGACGGTTGTCATCTCAGGTCTTAAGCATTTGCACATGGTTTCCATTAAAGATATTTGGTTATTTAGTTCATAAAGGCAGTACATTTTTGTCTGTCTGTATGTTGCTGGTTCCAGTATTCTAATAATGTTGGTAGAGAATGGAAAACCACGCGCAGCCGGTCTCCCTGCAGTCTGAGACCCTGGAATCCCTTTTCTTGAAAAAAGAGGAAGAGGCTGGTGGTTTTTTACAGTGGTGAAATACCTGCTTTGTGCAGTTGAGGCAGAGACACCAGGTGTTGGAGTGAGCGGGAGGGAGGTGGCTCTGCTTGGTGGGGAGCAGCCTGCATCACGCCACCTCTGCTGCGCTCTCTGGAGCAGGACCTCAGCAGGTCCCCGCCAGCCCCTGCATGGTACATGCTCACCCACAGCCTCGTCCTTGAAGTGGCTTCACTGGCTCCAGACCTGCCTCTGCTCAGACGGTGCTCTCAGAGTGGTCAGCCTAGCACTGGGTTGTGTAGCCGTGACCCTAAAAGAAAGTAACAGCTGGGGTGTAGATGACACTTGTCAAAGGTGTGAAGGACAAATTTGAGCCTCATGTTAGTCAACAAGAGGCGTTTATTAAATGCCCGCCCCCACACCTGGTCCTCCTCCTGGACAAGCTTTTTAAAGAGTCCATGACTGGCCTCAGGGAGCCCTGGATTCTTCAGAGGACTGGCCCACCTCAGGAGCCCAGCGTAGGGGCATCCTTAACACACAGGCTTGGGTTGTCCACTGGAGCACTGGCTGGGGCCGTTGGAGAGTGAGAGCATCCTGTCTGGTGGGGAACAGGGAACATCAAAGCTCAAGGAGGCTCTTAAGCCACCTGTGCTGATGTGGCAGGAGATTACCGAACCATGGGAGGCTGCTGTCCTTGTAGGTCAGGAGTGGCTGAACGCTGGCAATTGCATGTGGTTCAGTCTAACATGAGGTGAAGAAACCTAAGAGAATTGCCCTAGAGGATCTTACCCGTGTGCCATGCCCATCCTCGTCACACACACAGCCAGAGATTGAGGGCCGCATCAGGGGAACCTTGGACTCCTGCAGTAAGCACGTGTTAGTGAATCACTGGAGAATGTAAAAATACCAAAACCCAAAAAAGATGTGGGAAGTGAGTGTAGGTCCCCAGCGGCTCCCTGCTCTCCTGGGTGAGTCTGCAGTCTAGAGTGCTGAGGAGTGAAGTTCCCTTTCTTGTGCAAACCAGAGGCTGCACTGGGCTCTGGAGGGGGTGGGGTGGCCAGTGGGGAGCTTTGTCCTCAGCCACAGAATTGATGAGGCCTGGCCCCGTGCTCACAGCTCTGCTATATCTGCTCCCTGTCCCTCCCCAGGTGGCTCACAAGGAGAGTGAGGAGGCCCTGCAGAAGCGCCTGGACGAGGTCAGCCGGGAGCTGTGCCGTACTCAGACCAGTCATGCCAGCCTCCGGGCAGATGTGGAGAAGGCCCAGGAGCAGCAGCAGCAGATGGCTGGTGAGGGTGGCGTCATGTGACACCCTGCTTCTGGTAGGGCCCTGGTGGTCTTTGCACCCTCCTGGTGTCACTGCCAGGGCCAGAACCCCATTAGCTAGTCCTGTGAGCAGGGAGGGTCTCTGACTCTTCCCCTCAGAGAGTCAAAGAGGCAGGGATTGTACCCTGTCAGAGTTCTGCCTGGAGGTGCAGGCAGTCCGACTGCGCAGGACGTGGGGGGCAGAGCCTGCAAGGGCTAGGGCTGGAGCTGGAAGGCAGTCATTGCATGCCTGCCAAGCCTCTCTGTGGGCAGCCATGTGGTGCTGGGGAAATCCACATGCTCCTGGGGCCTTAGCTGGTCTGGTCACCAGGTGTCTGTTCTGGGCCTTCCTGTTCTCTAGCTCATCCCGCCCAAGAGGCCAAGCCAGGTTTGGAATGTGAGGCCTACAGTCCCCTGTGCACAGTTGCTGGTGGAGAGGGTGGCAAGGGTGGGCCCAGAGAGTCCCTGGAGAAACGCGCAGACGATGCTGGGGAGAGCTCCATGGTCCCCAGTATTTCACAGCAACTGCCAAGGGCAGTGCCCTGCTGTGGGCACTGAGCAAGAGCACAGGACAGGGCCACCCACAATGACAGGGTCACAGTTCTGTGCCCTCTGTGAGACTCAATCCAGGGCAGAGTTGGCACACTGTTTCTGTGAAGAGGTGGAGGGTATATACTTTGGCTTAATGGGCCAGACTGTCTCTGTCATGACCACTCAGCTCTGCTGCTGTGAGCAAAGTGCCATAAACATAGGCAAAAAGAGAGGTCTGACTGTGCCTGGATAAAGCTTCATTTATAAAAATGGGTGTGGGCGGGCTGGGCCCTGGGCTTGCTGGCCCTTGCTCCAGAGGGCTGGGCGTGGCTTTAGGTCGGTGGTCACAGAGACCTCTGAGGCCAGTGGGGTTAGTGGTAGAAAGGGCCAGGGCACTGAGATGAGAACCAGCATGTACTTGGCCTGTGCAGAAAGGGGAGGTGAACAGAACGGCTGGAATGAGAAGCCTGGTGGTTGGTGTGGGCCGCATGGGTGGGGCCCGGTCACCATCCCTCTGAGGAGTTTGTGTGAAGTGTGACAGAAGCACTTGGGGCAAGGGTATGATGTGATCTCACCACCACTTTCGGGTGCCCTGGTGCTGGGGAGGGAGCAGACCAGAGGGCAGGAATGGCCCAGGGAGACACGAGTAAGGCTCTTGCAGTTGTCCGGGCCCATGTGGCCACAGGGGTGTTGGCAAGGGGGGAACGAGCTGGCAGAAGGTAGACGTGGGAGCACATTGATGATGGGAACAGGTAGGGGGAGGGGCAAATCCAAACAGCTGAGGGAAGGAGCCCTGGCAGGTGGGGCGAGGCACCTTGGCAGGTAGGGTGCTAGGCTGAGTTGTCTTGTCAGAGTTCATTTGGAAGTGGTGGCCTTGGGGAGAGTGTGGCATCAAAGGCACACGGAGGCCACCTCAGGGAGAAGGGGGCCAGGGCAGGCACTACTAAGGAGGGCCATGCCGTGGTGTTGTTCTTGAGGGCCCCTGAGAAGTCAAGGAGAGAGGGGGACTCAGCTGGGGAGCTAGGTGAGGTGTGGCCATGTAGTCACTTTCTAAAAATTTTTGGTCTCAACTAATATGAACCAGAGTCTTCCTAGAGAATGAATCTATAGAAGCTTCTGTTGAGGTCTATTTCTGGCTCCATCACCTTCTCAGGAGTCGTCTGAGATACTGCATTTTATGCCGATTTTAGGAACGACACCAGGGTATCACTTTCTCCAACAGCTAGTAAGATGCTCCTGTGGTTAGAAGTATGTCTTAAGACCCCCGGGCACACAGAGGAGGCAGGAGAGAGAGCCCTGGTGTGTGTTCCCAGGGGGCAGCTTTGGGCGGCGTCCACCCTGGTGTTTCCCACTGCTGACCAGTCTCATTCTCTCGCCCTGCCACAGAGTTGCGCAGCAAGTTACAGTCCTCTGAAGCAGAGGTGAGGAGCAAATGTGAGGAGCTGAGTGATCTCCACGGGCAGCTCAAGGAGGCCAGAGTGGAGAACTCACAGCTCACGGAAAGGATCCGATCCATCGAGGCCTTGCTGGAGGCAGGCCAGGCCCAGGACACCCAGGTCAGCTTCCTCCGCGGGCGGCAGGTCGGGAGCACCTTGGGCAGATAGTCCCCACCCTGCCTAGTGAGTCTCGTGGAGACTAAGGGCCTTTCTCTCTTATTCAGGCCAGCCAAACGGAGGCCGACCAGCAGCAGACCCGGTAAGCTGATGAGACAGGGGACAGCCTAGGGGTGCTTGGGTCTACTGTGGAAGAGCTCTTTTTAGAGGCTAGTGACTTAGAGGACAGGAGGCAGCCTGGGTGAGATAGAAGGCAGTCTTGCCTAGAGCTCCATGCCCACTCTCAAGGGGCAGAGCCAGTGCCCCCGTGGGGGTGGGCAGACCTCCTGCACCTGTCATGCGTCCATCCATCCCCTACGGGGAGTGGCCAGCCAAAAGGTTCTCTAGAACTGAGGTCAGGACATCTCATAGGGAAAAATGATTGTACAACCCAGAATGGAGAGCTGAGTTGCTGCCGAGGCTTTTTGCTGGGCCACAGGTTTGGGACACCCGTGTCTAGAGTTGATGGCAGCACTTGTTTTCCTTTATCCATGAGGTGACTTCAGTGCTGGCAAGACCTTGTTTTCCATTGGTGTCAACAGCACCAGACCACACTTGGGGACTGTTTGTTTGCTGTTGCCAAGGCCAGAGCCAACACTTGGTGGGGAGGCTCAAGTAGGGGGCCTGAATCCTTGTGACTGTCACCCCTGGGCCATTCATCTCTGAGCACTTGCCCGTGGTCTCTGGAGCTGGGTACTGGCTGCTGTGGTCAGGGGTCCACAGAGCAGCCGTTAGGGTGAGGCATATCCTGTGTCCCCTCACACATGGTCACATGTATTCTTGGCCCTCAGCTGACTAGGTTCCCTTGTGCAGCCTCCCTGTGTGCTGCTGAGCAGATGTGGGTCCTCAAGCCACAGCCCACCTTCCCTGGTATTAGACTTAGCGGCTTGGGGACTGGGGAAGGAACAGCTACCCAAAGGCCCACAGTGCCTTGTGAATACAAGCAGACCCTCTCTACCTTCCTTTCCCAGCAAGCATGGGCACACTTTCTTTTTTCCTGGTGGTTTGTCAGGGTAGAGAAAATTGTGTGGGTTTAGGTTTCTTCTTTTGTATTTTAAGACCAGATATTTGGACCACACTGCAAGCTACTGGGACAATAGTTGTGTTGCAGATAGGATCAGTTTTAATTTTTTACATCATGCAGATATGTCTGGCAGAAATTGGGTTTTTTAAATTTTCTTCTTGGCCAAGGCAGGTGCATTACTTGTGCTTATAAGTTTGAGACTAGCCTGAGCAAGAGCAAGACCCCATCTCTACTAAAAATGGCATAATAATAATAATAAAAACTAGCCAGGCACTGTTGTAGGCACAGTCCCAGTTACTCAGGAGACTGAGGCATGAGGATTGCTTTAGCCCAAGAATTTGAGGTTGCTGTGAGCTGTGACGCCGTGGCACTCTAGCCTTGGGCAACAGAGCAAGACTATGTCTCAGAAAATAAAAATAAAAAAAGTTTCCTTCTCAAACAGTTTATTTAAAAGTTTTATGTAGGCTGGGTCATCCTGTTCTAGAATAGAGAGGAGTGATTCTGCCCCAAATGTTCTGGAACTTGGGCAGTGGCTGCCAAGGGGATGATTGCCAGTGTGTCCTTGTTACTGGCCACTGATTCTTCTCAGGGCCTGTTCCTTAGGGGACACTCCTGGGATGACTTGCTGGAGGAGGCTGTTGCATAAAGGGGAATGTAGAGAAAGATGTGGGCCAGGGAGCCAGCAGAGCTCTGAGGGTGGGTCAGGGTTCTGTAAGCCCGAGACCAACACCTAGGAAGTCTATAGCTGTCTTCAAGACAAGGTGCAAACTACATTTAAGATAAAAATAAGAAGCTGTGCCATGGCCAACATCCATTACCAGATGGGGCAGCGCCCTTGGATGGTGCTGCAGTAATATTCAGTGTTAAGTGCCTTTGAAAAGGGTTTTTCAAAAAGCTTTCAGTCATTTCTACAATAAGAAATAGAAATGCATACGTCTCCATCTGGCTGGCAGTGCAGCCAGGACCCTGCCTTCCTCGAGCTGGTGACAGACCCCTGTGGGAGGGTGTGTCCCTGCATCTCAAGAGTGGTGTGAGTGGCTCTGATTCAGGTCCCACAGAACAATACTCTGAAACCTCAAGTTCACCTGTCCCTGAAGCCTTCCTCTAAATCTTCACGCAGAAGGTGACATGACACTTGTCCTTCAGAGCAATACATTTCTATAGCAGCATAAACCCCTACTTCTGTATGGCAGGTAGACAAAGTCCACAGGTCTGGAAAAAGGAATGGCAACGATGGGGACTAGCATCTTGCCAATCAAAGGCATCTGGGAGTTGTGTTGGCTGATTCCGCACATCTCAGGCCACAGACTGAGGAGGAAGCCCTAGGGCTCAGGAAAGTTAGGTTTTGGACAAAGAAACTGCAGTTTCTGCACTGCAGGCGGCCATGGCTTTTGTGATCTGCTGTAAGCAGCAGCACCCAATCTCCAGGGCCATCCCAGCAGCATCCAAGGCTGGAGCGCAGGGGTCTCCTGAGGAGGCCCTGCCCAGATCTTCCTAGAGCCAGGTGTGGCCATGAGAAGGACCATGTGGTGTGTTTTCTGGGGACAGAGCTGAACCAGATCTAGCAGAAACCAAGTCCCAGACACCAGGGCTCAGTTCACTAGAAGAAAGAATATCCCGGAAAGTCAAGTACCCAGGTTTGTTTGGTGCTAGCCACCATGGGCACTACTGAAGGCAGTGCCCTGAATGAGCACTGAGAAAGGAGGGGCCGGGGAAGCTGCCTGGCTTCCCTGAGAGCCTGTGCCCCACCAGGTGGAGGAGACTGTCCTGGATGAGTAGCTCAGCTTTGCAGATGGTCCTCATCAGGGTGGGGATTCAGACTAGGCACTCTGGGCAGAGGAAGGGGGTCTTCCTGAGACAGGACCTGTGGCCCCTCAGAGCCTGCACAGTGACCTTGCTATGCCCCCTTAGCCTCAAGGAGCTGGAGTCCCAGGTGTCGTGTTTGGAGAAAGAGGCCACTGAGCTCAGGGAGGCTGTGGAGCAGCAGAAAGTGAAGAACAACGTGAGTGGGGAGGGCTGGGCGGGGGGATGGGTGAGCCATGCGGCTGGCCAGGAGCAGTTCCTCCAGGACAGCCTGAAAACACGCACAGGTCAGGGGAGGGCTGAGCTCTGCTGCTCCGCATCCTGCTGTGCTGAGACTCGGGGTGCAGGCCTGCCTTCCTCTGGGGGTGCTGGGCAGGGGGGTCTGCTTACCCCTCAGTTCCATCAGAAGACCCAGAGCTGGCTCGGCGCCTATAGCTCAACCG